GGTTGGCCTGCGCCGCCGTGCTGCTGGCCGAGCTGCTGGAGCGAGTGGCCTTCTACGGCATCACCTCCAACCTGGTGCTCTTCCTCAACGGGCCTCCCTACGTCTGGGAGGGGGCCCAGGCCAGCCAGGCCCTGCTGCTCTTCATGGGCATCACCTACCTGGTGTCGCCTTTCGGAGGCTGGTTGGCTGACGCCCTCCTGGGCAAGTTTGGCACCATCCTGCTCAGCATGGCGCTCTACCTGCTGGGCATGCTGGCCTTCCCTGTCATCGCCACACCGCACACCCGCCAGGGCCTCTGTGGGGACATCCCCCTGTTCCCCGTAGAGAACTGCTCCTCTCCGGCAGCCAATGCCACCATGGCGCCTTGCTCCCAGGTGGGAGCCACCCGCTACTGTGCCACCGCCACCTTCATCGGACTGGTCCTCGTGGGGCTGGGCGTCGGGTCAGTCAAGGCCAACATCACCCCTTTTGGGGCAGACCAGGTCAAGTATTATTTGGCAGCTGCTGAATCGTTTGTGGGTGCTGATCTGAACCAGGGGATGGCTGTCAGTCATGCAGAGGGGCTTGCTTTGGTGGGACGGACAGTGCACCTACTGATTCACATCTCTGCAGGCGTTAAGTCTCAGAGGGAATCAGATAATCCAGCTTTGTTCCCCGTGTAATACAAGCTGTTAAATTGTACCCTGTTTGATGTAATTTTGGTGTCTGTGGTGTCTGATCTCTTGTGACCCTTGGTTTCCTGGTAGCCCTGCCTTAGGTGTGGTACCTGATTTGGCCAAGCCATCACCATCTTGAGGTGTTGGGTTTGAATACTTAATGGCCACGAAATGGGTTGTTAACTATCCTCCATTGTGGAGTTTGTAGCCGGTTAATTTGAACTCGGCTCTTTGGGTGAAATATCTGATACACGTTTTAGCTTTGACAAAGATAGCATGGGCCTTCTAGGGCAGTGGTCAGAAGCCATTATCATCCTGTGATAGATGAAAGCTAGAGAACAAACAGGTTTTTATGCTTTAGGTATTCTCTGTGTGCCCTTGAGTGATACTTTGTGCAGGCTAGAAGATGCTCTCAACACGGTAAACATTTTACCTGGGCTGTTCTCATAAGCACATGTCCTGTCAAATGATCTTACACAGATCCACTTCAGTGATGCCATTCATTGGATCATCACTGCAGAACCAAGTGGTTTTACAGAAAATTTTTGAGATGCAGCTCATAGTTCAGTATCAACTGGAATGTGCTGTTGCATGTTTGGTTTTTTTACAATATTACGCTAAGGTAGCATGCTGACTATGGATGTTGAATTACAACATAATGTATGCTTCACAGATAGAGAATTTCAGATGCTTAGATCTGAGCAGCTTTTCTAACCAAACTGTTCTTGATGACAGAGCAAAACAAATACATCCAATTCAGTTGCGTGTCTGTTTACTGGCCCATTGAGTTCTGGATAGCGCAGGTATCAGAAATGCCATTAAATTCTTTGTGAGAGGTAGGATCTACCACAATATCTTTGCCAAACATACCTCTCTTCTCTGCTGTGCAGTTTACGTTTGTCATTCTTTGGCATTTCGTATACTATAAATTCTGGAGTTCTGGGTGAAAGGCAGTATATAAATGTAAGACATTATTATAGCCTAGGATTGTGTGTCCCCAGTGTATTGGTTCTGTTTAAGCCAGCATGAGCCCATCAAGTGGAATAGCTTTAATATGACTTTATCTTGTAAGGTGTTTTTCAAAACTGACTGCTTATCCCCAGAACACTTTATGAACGTTAAATATAAAAGGTAAATAATGCCAGGAACAGAGAAAAAGAAGAACCATTGCCAATGGAAGTGTAGCTGTTGTAGCTGGATTTTTTAGAGGCTTTCCCCACAGGATTTCACGGAAAACAGTTTTTGGATAGGTTTGCAGATAATTCACAGTGATTTATGTAGGGTAAAGCAAAAGAAATACTCCTTTCTGGTTCATAATAATCAGTAGAGCTCTGCTGAGGACTGAATTTTTCCCCTTCTCTGTTTTTCTGGCTTATCTATTGTTAAATATATTACAGCATACCACTTACCTTGTTGTGCAGTTTCGGGCCCTCTTGGGTGCTTTCTCCCTGCATAGGAATGTAGCAAACTGCTGGGTAGATGGATATATATTGCTGAGAATAAAGTCTGTCTCCCAGAGTCACATTCTTGGGAGGCCAGAATACAATGCAAACATGTTTTGGCTGGACGTGCGCTGATAAGATTTGCCCTCTTTCTTTTTCTTAAACACCAAAGAAAGGAAAATACGAATTGTGTATCATGTACTTTAGCTGACATGAACCACCTTGCAGATATTGTTAATTACATTTCATTGCAGGTCTCTTAAAAATTACCATATGAATTTTTCAGTTTTAACAGATGATCTATAATTTGGATGGAGAACCCAAATATAATGAAGATTTTTTTATTTAGAAGAAAAGAATCACTTTGTGGAAAATTGGAAACTAAATTCCAATACTTATTTTCCTCTGAGGTTAAAAAGATGTAGTTTCTTAATTTCTGTTAAATTGATTCTTAGAAGTGCTGTTACAAGTGACTAAGTAGACTTAGTGTGGAGTAACTTTTGCCAGTCAGCTTTGCAAAAAATCAGTTACTGCCAACTAGGTATAGACCAGCTTTACTTAACCGTGTTTATAAATAAGAGCCGTTTTTCTAGAAGTTGCAGGTTGATCCATTGTACAGGTCTAAATCTGAACTGCTCGTTGTTAGAATAGTTTATAATCATGTGATGTGTACAACCTGGCACTTTCCAGTTCCCCTTTCAAGTGCGCGGGTTGTGCAGTCACTTCCTGTTCTATGTAGCAGTTTGTGACTTTCTGTAGTTAGGAAACAATGACTATCCCTCGTTATTGTGAAAGCTGGCTTAGCGTCACCATCAAAGCCAACATTAATAGTAGGCTACTGATCTTGATCATCAGGTCCAAGTATTAACTGTAGGGACAGCTGTGCTGTGGATGTTGCTGTTGGTCAGATATTTGTAATGACTTTTCATCAGCTGTTGTAGCTAAAGATCTAGTTACTTTTTCTCTCTTTCTTTGTTTTAGTTGCGTTTAAAACTTTGTTCTGATTGTAAGAGGTTAACCTAAATGAGTGTAGAGTGTTGCAGTGCAGAGTTACAGGGCTGATGTGTCCTCTGCTGAAAGTGGCTGTAAATAACCTAATGATTACACAGTTCACATAACATAGTGTTCCAGGCACTTGGGATTCTTTATCATGAAAACTCTGGTCATAATTACATCTCATCTGACGGTAATCAGTCTGATATAAGTGTTTTGTATTAGAAATTTTGATTTTGAGAACTATTCCTTTACTATTTCAAAATCCAGTGCTGTGTAGGTCCCAGTTACAAATCTCAGAATGTCCCTGTGCTTTTGGATTAACTATATGTAAAGGATAGTTACCAGATATATCAAGTAAAACACCTTTTGGACTGCCGAAAAAATCGAGTGTTAGGTTAGATTTTCTTTTGCAAAAACTATGTTAGATGCCTTGAAAGTAGCAATATTATTTTATTTCCTCTTTAGAGGCCCACCTGAATGCAGGCAGCGTTGACATGTGGCCCATGACCGACAAAGCTGTGGCCAGAATGCTTAGAGTTGCTCATTTCCTTCATTTCTTTGTTGGTGGGGTTTTTTGGTGTGGTTTTTTTTGTTTAGTTCGCCCCTGCCTCCCCGAGTGTTGGTGGTTTGGTGGGGTTTTTTTAATTAAAATTTGCCCTATAGTTTATAAGAGGAAGATTTAGGGCAATTGGGATGTTCTTTGTATGGTACAGGACTTCATTCTCTATTTTAATTTAAGTAGAAGCAACTACTGGATTGCTTCTTAGTGTTCTTGGAGAATGATGTGCTATCCCATTTAGTAGGGAAAAAAAGGAGTGAAAGGTTTGAAGAATGCCGAACAGTGAACTGGAGACTCAGGACTGGATATTAGGCAGAGGGAGTTGATCTAAATAAGTGACAGCTGTCCAACACTTGTAAATTCTGTGGAAAATGTGTGAATATGAGCTCATTTGCAAAATGTGTTACCTGGAGCAAACAATTTGTGTGTATTAGATACTTGCTAATGTTCATTTGAGTCAGGGCACCTTTGAAGGAGTTTTACTACAGTGTTTTTGTTAGTGATAGGAAGCCTTGCACTCCAGTCATGGCATTTTGCTGATACTGTTTGCATTTTCCTATTGTAAGGAATTTGACTAAAACATGGTAAATCTAAGGTGACTTTTTTCTTACCTTTTAGGGAATACTACTGGTTTTACGCCATTTTGTTGTGATGGGGACAAAATCTTTTCAGTTTACCTATTTTAACTCTCAGTGTAGGGATATGGAACGCTTAGCCCACAGGACAGATTTGATCCAGGACCCACACTGTACTTGCGTCACTTAGGCACATCATTTTCCTGCTGCAGTTGCTGGTAGGATGTTAAAAATATAATGAAGCTGGTGATGCTGGTACCACAACGAGAGTGCTGCTACACTTGAGCACAGATGAAATTGAGCAGAGGGAGTGATAGATTTTTCTTTCTGCCTGGGTGATTGAAAATAATGCAAGCATAAGGGGGGAAAGGAGAATTCCTGCAGTTTTTTGAAAAATACTTGTCCTTGATAAAAATAAAATAATAAAATTCTAATATGGTCTACTTATGAAGAGACTAAACCGATCTATTTTGTGCTGTCACACAGCTCAAGTAACAGCCAGCAGGGGGAAACTTTGAGTAGTCTGCTGTCAATGTGATACAGCTAATATTTTGGGCAGCTGATGTGATGTTTGAAAGGAAATAAAAGGATTGCCTTTTAACTCTGCCGTGTTTTCTGGTTTTGGTAAGACATCTTCATAGTCATTCCACTTTGACAAGATATGCCACCAGCTAGTTCAGTATAATTTTTACTAAGTTATTAATGTTTGTCAATAAAATGCCATAGTGGCGTTTCAGATGTGGTTGTGTTGTGATTTTTATTGCATACATATACTTTGACAAGGAAGCAGAAAATGGATTCTTTCCACTGTAAGTCGGGGGTGTGTCTGTCCCTTGAGCATTACATTCCTTTTTGGTCACTCTGTTTCAAAAAGGATACTGAAGATAGAGAAGGAAGTCTCAGGGAAGGGCCACAGACATGGTCAGTAGTTTCCATGCAAGGAATCATGAAACAGTTTACAACTTCCTATCTTTGAAAAGGCAGAAGGAAGATGTGTCAGTGTGGAAATAATGGTCAGGGGGGAGAGGGGCAGAAGTGGACCAGGGATGGGATAACGCTCAGCTGTCTTCTGTTGTTTCCTGGAACTAAGTAAAATGCATGAGGCTAGTACAGGGCAGGTTCAAAACATACCAATGGAGGTGGTTCTTCCCACTGTGTAATTAGCTGGGGAACTCTTTGCCACAGGATATTATAGATTCTAAAAGCTGACCTGGGTTCAGAGGCAGGCTGGACAAGTTCATGGAGAGGAGATCTGCTGCATTTATTAAATAGGTAAAGCCATCCTTGGCTCAGGAAGTTTCTCAGGAGCTAATGGTTGGAGGCTGGGATAATACTTGGTAGAAGCATCATGCTGTGCTTGCCCTGTTCTTACCTGTATCAAAGTTTGCTTTCATCTCCCAGCTTTTCTTTGCATATACATGAATGAGGTCATTTGTAAGAGGAAGGATGGGAAGTCATCTTTCTTGAAGATGACATTAGAAGGGAACTGAGACTTTATGATGAAGAAATGGAAAATTCATAAAATAGATTGCTAACTCTTTACATAAGTTGGAGCACTGTGTTTACAATGTAATTTTTCAGTAATATCCTGCTGCCATTTGGTGTTTAAAAGGAATTTCTAGCTTGATACTCTACTGCAGGTGATGACTGTTAAAATTAGGAAATGAGTACCAAGTGTAAACTGGAAATGGAGAATTTCTTGGGTTTAGGCTCTAAGACTGTATTTGCCATGCTCACAGACCTACCTGAATGCCTAACAATGCTATTTACTATGCCTAGGAATAGATGCCTTAACATTTCTTTTGTTAGGCTTGGTAAAATTATACAGATGGATTTGTGTACCACTGAGAAACTTGAAGCTGTAAATCAGAACTGACAATGTTAAAAACTTGTTTCAGGACATAGCTCATTTTTCATATTGCAAACTAAAATCTTTTGAAGCTCTGGCAAATGAGGAAGGGAAACTTGCAATTAGAAATCAAAAACAACTGACTCAGCAAAACTGGTGCATGGTACTGACTTGCTAGTCACTGTTAATGGTCTTTCAGTCATAAAACAGTGACAAATACGGTGTTATGAATTCTTGTACAGACTAGTTGAACTTTTTAATGTATTTCATATTTTAACTTGCATAGTTTCTCTTACATCACATCTTATGAGTGATGCTGGGTTCCTGTGACTTAAGTGTAAGACATGGGTGACTTATGGTAGGCAATACGGAATAAAGGGCGATGGTGAAAACTGTACAGGATAATTCTGTAAATCAGGGATGTCTTTACTTTCACTGGAGAGACACTGAGAGCTTCAAACAGAAAAATAGCACTATGAACAGTGCTGACTTCATAGAGGGATATATGTTTACTGAGGCCTTGTGACACCTCAGGCAACTCAAATTTAATTTTTTTTTTTTAAAAGGTCAGAATGGCAGGTCTCCAATTTATGTTCTGGTGAGAGGCATTAGGACTATGTTAAAATTTAAATTTGTGCTTTAATTACCAAGTAGTCATTTGAGGCTTAGAAAATATGGTTAACTGTTATGTGTACACAGTTGGAAGAAGCAATTGTTGCAATACTACTAATACATTATTTTTTAGGTAGCTTAACTATTTACTAAAAAAATATAGTTATTTCCACTTCTGTGGACTATGGGACGTTAATCCGAGTGAGCTTTGTCTAGAGAAATGACCAAATGAGAGACAGTGCAGTAGAAATAATAACGGCCTCTGTGGGGAAGCTATGTAGTTTAGAATTGTATGGCTTTTTCATCCCTGTGCTGAACTTCTAGAAGGTCACTGATACAATGGGGTAGCTCAGTAAGGTGTCATTTCACCAAATACCAGGCTAAGCCCAAATCACTTAAATCATTTCAGTATGACTCTAAATTAAACCTAAACTCTTCACTGTATTGAACTCGACTGAATTCTAATAAACAGGCTTTGTTTTCTTCAGAAATTGAATGACTTGTTTTTAATCTTTTCCAGGTCAAAGATCGGGGTCCAGAAGCCACAAGAAGATTTTTTAATTGGTTTTATTGGAGCATTAATTTGGGAGCTATTCTCTCTCTGGGAGGCATTGCATACATTCAACAGAATGTGAGCTTTGTTATTGGTTATAGTATCCCAACAGTTTGCATTGGGATTTCATTTATTGTCTTCCTATGTGGTCAGAGTTTCTTCATCACAAAACCGCCTGATGGTAGTGCCTTCACAGACATGTTTAAAATTCTCGCATATTCTTGTTGCTCAAGAAAGAGACATGTGGAACGTTCAACTAACAGGTTTGTAATGAACTCTCTTGTATAGTCTGAATTCAGTGAATCAGCCTAAGAGTTGGAACTAGTTAGTTCAACGTAGGTATCAGTAAGCCATGCTAGAGAATACACTAGAATATGCACTTTTCCTTTGAGAATTGGAACTGTAAAATTGGAATCCTGGAGATATTTTCTGGGAGTTCTGGGATGAGAGAGAGAGGCACATTTTGTGATCAGTGGATCTCCATGCTGCAAGATCAAGTCTGCTGTTTTCAGTTGAATGCTATGTCTGGCCAGTTCAGAGTTTCGGAACGTGTAACATAACCTAAGTATGCTGCTTTTAAGCATTAGTTAACTTTCTTCTTTGATTAGATATGTTTACGGGACGCCTTCTGATTTGAAAAACACTATAATCTGCATTTAATGTTGTAAGTAAGTGGCTTGGTGGGCAGCCAAAATGTATACTGCCTTTTTGCTTTCCAAATGGTTACTCCACTCTTAAGAGCTCTCCGTGGAATACTGGTGGCTGAATTTAGTCACTAATGATAGGAGACATCAGGTGCCTTGCAAAACAATTCAATGAATTAGAATAACCTGTATTTTGTAATGGAAATTTTCAGCTTGTGCATTCACGTGCTGATGATCCACTCTGGCCTAGTTGTTTTGCTGTAACTTACATGAGTAACTTATTTTGGAAATGCGTGAGCTTGTTATAATGAAGTGTCACAAGATTGCCAGTTATGTCAGTTTTTGTTGTTGTTTAACTAAGTGTTTCAAATTATTTTCAAAAGCGAAGGCCAGGGAGTACTTCGGCAACCTCGCAAGCAAAGCCTGTTTGAGATGGCCAAACTGTCTCATGGGGGCCCATTCAGAGAAGATAAAGTAGAAGATGTGAAAGCTCTTGTCAAGATCATCCCTGTCTTTTTGGCTTTAATACCTTACTGGACAGTGTATTTTCAAGTGAGTACTTCCAAATGGTTACATTTTTATTTTACATGTCTAAAAATATAATTTCTAATTTAAGGGCCATAACTTCCTCTTCTCCAATTGCATTTGAAAGGCCTCAGGGCACTAGCATTAAGTTGCAGTTCTGAGCCTGTGTTACACATCTAACTCCTGTCTGAAAATTACCCCCCAGAGCAGTTACCTGAAGGAAACACACAAAAGCTTTGGGAGGGAAACTGGTTAATAAGGTTTATGTACAGTTAGCATTCAGTAGCTGTGATTCTAAATATTCAATATTCAATATTCATGAATATTGAGTTCAGTAGCTGTGATTCTAAATATTCAATATTCATGAATATTGAAGAGGATTTTTTGGAACTCTGGTATTGACACTTTGACTTGTTTAATACCCGTGTGTTCAGTAATGTTAACTTCTTGTCTTTCACACACCTGGGGTTGCATCATTTTAATATTATTATGTTAGCAAAAATAATATTGTGTGATGGTAGCTTCTTCTGAATTTTTTTATTTGCTAGATAAAATTGTTGTGGAAAGCTGTATTTGTGTACCAGGATGCCAAAGTATCTAATTTTACATTTTTCTGGGAGCTCTTTTGTAAATATGAAACTTACCCTGAAGTTGAGAGACAAAAAGTGGCTACTAGAATCCTTTCAAATAATATTTTGACCTAATAATAAAAAAGAAAATTAAAACAGTAGTTAAAACAGTTGTACAAATTAACAGATTAAATATTGCACTATGTTTCATCTTGCAGTTGATTCAGATAGGTCAGGATAAGTAGTCTGGACTTAATTTTAATTAATTACTTTCTGGTTCTTCTGTCTTAGTGAGATGAATTAGGACAGCAAATATGTTTTGGGGGAAAAATATGCCGAAATTGTTTTTAAAGTCACATGAATGATTCTTTGTGCTTTTAGTAAAAATAAATGTAAGGGTTAAAAAAATCTTGTGATGTTCTAACAACAGTGCTTTTTGTTTTGCTATATTAGCACTTTACCTCTGCTATAGTATCTGTTAATTATTAAAAATGTAAAAATTTCTCACTCAGTGTTCTCAGTACTCCTTGTCCAAGTAATCTCAACTCATCTTCCCTATTGCTAGATGCAGACAACATATGTATTGCAAAGTCTCCATCTGAAAATTCCTGAAATATCAAGTGACACCAACTCTATTCATACGGTAAGCAGGGCAAAACATGTGAAAACTATTTTTTTTAGTTGAAATGCAAAGTAGGTAAGTATTGTACAAAAATTCCAGGAAGTTAGGGACTACAGAGAATTGATGGCCACAGACATTGGGCATTTAGAAGCATGACACATAATGCAGAGATTCTGGCATACCTACCAGTATATGGAGTTCACACCATCCTGTTTTGATATATTCAGATGACTTTCGCTGCTTTAATTAAGAGTGTCTTTATCCTTCTGTGGACAAAGTATGATCTTTGAAGAAAGCTTATAAATTTATATGCCCTAAGCTTTCAAAGTTATAAGTAGTACAGAAGCATTCCTACAAACCCATACTTAACTGAAACATTAGTATGTACAAATTTGGAATCTGAGATATGTTTGTAACTTTATACTGCTTAATATATATTCACTTTACCTTGAATCAGTTTAGTGTATTGAAGGAAGTTGTTCAACATTTTTCAAGAAAGGCTGGCATCACATAATTGCAGAAATAGTAAAAAGTATGGATATAAGTTATTAACAGGCTTACTAAATATTCTTTTAAAATTAAGTTTCTTCTGCTTTATTTAAAAATATCATTAAGACAGAATGGCTTCAGACTTTTTTCTACAGATCAAAAATAAAAAATGCTTATACTTAATTTTTCTTTGAACTCCTTTTTCTGTAGCACATCTGTTGTCTTGTTCTTATTTTATTTTGAAATACTTTGCTGTGGTCTAACAGTGTAAGTCAAATAAGTTAATTTGATTTTAGCTATGTTCCTTGGTATGTGGTCTGTTTGAAGGATGCTGACCTGCAATCTACATTATGTAGCTAGTATCTTTGGAAGCAATTCTGACTACTTTGCTCTCTCCAAATTGAAGTGATTTGAGGTAATTAAGAAAAGGGGCAGCAATATAGTGTTTTACATGAGCAGCATTGTACCTCATCAGGTCTGGGTTTGCCTCTTCTAGGCACCTCTTCTCAAGACTAATAAAGACATATTTTCTCTTGATATGAAAAGAATGAAATATGTGTATGCCCTTTAATTTGCAGGCTCCTGGTAGAGTAGAAAATGGAAAAGCATACATTTTAAACAAAAAAAACTCCAAGTGATTGATTATATGAAATAGAGCAGTGCCAGAGGCATTTGGTATTTCTCTTCTTTCTTATCAAATTCAGCAATGACAAAAAATTCCTACATCCTTGACCTTAATTAAACAAATCTGTCTTTGTACAAACTGTCACACAGGTTAATGCTGGTGTGATAATTTGCAGCAAATGAAAAGGTGAATGGGAGAGGGAGGGAAACCGACAGTTTTAAAGTTTTGCTAAATATTTCAAAATAAGCAAGAATTGGACTAGCTCAGCAGAATTCACTGTGCGTTTTTCAAAGTATGTGAAGACTGCTAAGCAAAGTATGTAATTTTATGTATCAAACTGCTGAATATTTTCATATAGCCAAACCAGCTTATTGTACCATTTTCAAATCCATGATCTTGAAATGCCTGGGAAGCATTAAGGAGAGGTTAGGATGAATTCAGTTTTACCCTCATCATCATAACTTCTTGGGGTTGGCAAACTATGAACCAGAAAGCATTTGCCTGAGTTCTCTGGAGAACTGCAGTGACAATTGTAATGCAGAGCAAGAAGCAATAGTATTTTTAATGACTGTTGTTACAACATGTCAGCATGCAGAGAGTGCTAAAAATGTGCCACAGACAAATGTTAATGCTACTTGGAGATTTTGGCAAAGCCTAATATGGACATGGCTTGATGTCAGTCAGACTTGGTGCTCTTGGTGCAAACTCCTGCTTTGATTATGAAGAACTGAAGGTTCACGTTTTGCTAACTCTTGTTTATGCAGTTTGTCATCATCTCAGCTGTACTGGAGTCATTACAACCAATCAGTGAAACAGGGTCCTCATCTGCACTGAGAGGTGCATGCCCACAGTGTGTTAGAGGCTGAGGGCTTGGGTTACTGAAATGGTTGCAGTTGTTGAGATTTGTAGCCTTAAGGGGATCTGGTTGTTTTCTTCGGTTACTGTGGCTGTAGCTTTAGATTGTCACAGGCCCCTTTCTAGATAATCTCTAGAAAACATTCATCTGTTCTAACCCCGAGTTTCTACACACACAGGAACAGTTTAGTATCAAAAACTGAATCTGCATCTGAAACACACAGATCAAGCACTGCTTGTATTTTGGGTCAAAGAGTCAGTGCGATGCATAGTGTAAAGTATCACAGTGTTCTAAATGTGATTTTAAAAGATATCCTCAAACCAGAACATTTTCACAAATCTTCTTGTACTGTCTTGGTTTGTTAGCTCAGAACAGATGCTAAATATTATTAGGCGTGGTAGAAATTGTCTCATTCATACAGACGGGAATCTTATTGTCAATTACTGAATCTTGCAAATGAGAAGGGATGCATGGATTACACAATACCTGGCTACAATGTGTTCATTTGACAAGTGTAATTTAATTTTAATTGAATTTTGTATTACATTACTAAAACTCTGTTTCTACTGTTCTATGGCATGTTTCTGAAAGTTCTAAGCCTAATAATAGAAGATCTACAGAACCTAGCTGGTTTTTTTCATGACTAAAGTAGGAAAAAAGTTTAATTCTGTCAGACTAGAGTGTATCACTGGAAGCACAATAGTAGGGACTATTTAATTGCATTAAATCACTTCCTGACCTGTGTGCTATTAATATTGACTTCAAATGCTTTTAAAAGTGTATCTTGGGATGTATTCATTTAAATAATCTGCACAATTTTGTTTACTAGATTTGTGTGGCACAATCAGTCATTCCTCAGACAAGTGTTCTATGACTAAAAAAAGTCTTTAATGGCAGAAAAGCTCCCAAAGGACAGTGATTTTTTCCAGTAAACATATTTCAGGACATACGCAGAAAAACTCAGATGTTGCAATAATGCTAATGGCCATCTCCTCTTTCAAAAGGAATTAATATCGTTTTAGTTAGATAGTTAACTTTTGTTTTAACAAAAATTAATTCAGAGTAAAGACCCAAGGTATGAGCCCTCTGAAACTTAGAAATCTTTAAAAAAAATCCAGAGTACTCTCTTCATCTGCCCACTAATTTCTTATTCCTCATTTTCCTTAGAACTATGAGCAGTAATATTTGCTTTTGTGTAAAGAACCTTTTTGCTCTGAACACTTGATGTTCTTCAGTTCCAGCAGAAAGCTCCAACACCTCCACTTCACCTGACCCAAAAAAACCCCCACCTACCTCAGCACAGCTGGAGATACATCTTGAAAGTGAGAATATGCAATACTGTTGGAGTTACTATGGTGAGGAATCATTTGGGCCTGTGAGCTAACAGAATTATGAACTACCAAATTAAATGAAAACCTGAATAGCTAGGTGTTTACTTTCTTCAGCTTTTACACACTCTTATTTTGCTTTTCCCAGTGTCTATCAGTGCACTGTGGCTTGTTTTGGATCTCAGTGTTTCATGGAAAATATTTTTTCCTTTGTTAAATAATAGCAAAAATCAACCCTTAAGTATAAATTGCTAACTTAAGTGATCTATCCTTCCAGTTTCCAGCAGCCTGGTTGACTATGTTTGATGCAGTGCTTATTCTGATCCTAATACCCTTAAAAGATAAATTGGTGGACCCCATTCTAAAGAGGAATGGCTTGCTCCCATCCTCACTGAAGAGGATTGCAGTTGGAATGTTCTTTGTAATGTGTTCTGCGTTTGCTGCAGGTAAGAAAACAGTCTTGAGATCTACTTACATATCTACTTATTCAGCTACTTCAAACAGCATTTTTAAAAAAACTTTGTGAATCTTTAATTCAAGATTATTCAGAAGTCTTTTTCGTGGGGTAGTTAGACTGCAACTGCATGGATGCATTTCCCATAATGAAAGAGATTTTATCCAAAAACTTACTAAACTGTTTTGATCGTTTGTGATAAAATTGGACCATTTTTCCTGGTTGAAATAGACTTCAAGTATACCTTTTAAAACCAGCTTGTTAGTAAAGGTTTCCACATACAGTGTAACTTTCTAGTATGCTTGGTAAAGGAGACTGCCTGTTTGTTTTCTGGCCATATTTTCTCAACAAATGCCTTAGCTTCATGATCAGGGTTTGGGTTGCCTGAAAAAAGTGTCCAACATTTGGATATAAAGCTGTTAGTCCTCATAAAATAAACTTTATGGTATTGAGGAAGTCTGTGTTGTCTGATTTATTTAACAGTTATCTTGAAGTTGAAAATTTATTTATCTTGTTCAGAAATAAGTATGTTCCTTCATATAGTCTGACTTCCAAGTATTAAAAAAGTGAAATTTTACCTAAAGCCCTTTCCCTTTATCTGAAATTTAGGTTATGGGTGAACAAGAGTTTCCTCCCACTTTGGGTTTTTTCTCCCCTCCCTTAATGTTCCCTAATGTTTAGGAATTACTGTAGTGTAAAATGGCTTAGCCATAGCATGAAAGGAAAAAGATGGCAACTCTGTTCAAACCATACATCAGCTGCTTTTGAGATGATTTAAAGTTGTTAAGCACTGCTGGTGTGGAACCGAATATCTCTGAGCAATGCTTCATAGAACCTATAGCTTTCAGCTAGTATCACTATAATGAACATATTGATAAAGCATTATAGCATTAAATAAATTAATTTCAGCACTTGTAATCTCCTATATTTTAGAGAGAGGGACACTTTATATGGCTATTAGGATTTCTTTCAATGAGAGAGATAATTACCTTATTAGGCCAAGGTCACTTTGTATGTGGGCAAGTAAAGTTCTTAAAGCAAAGTCATTTAAACTTAAAATAGGGATGTTTCTCTTATTCTGTGTTGCTTAGGATACTGCTACCAGCAAAAGAAGATAATGTAAAACAGTTAAGTGTCACCTCTTCAAGTAAAACCTGCTGGCTCACAAGAACAGCAGTATCTGTCTTTATTAGTATGAGAGAAAAAAAGCCTGTAGAGCTGTGACAGCTGGGTTGGGGAATGGTTGGTTGGTTTTGTACAGCAGAACTCTTAAAAACTTCAAATGCCTTCTTGTTTTCTATTCACCTACAAATGTAACACATGCTTTTGTTGGTTTGATCCTGCCATAACTCTACCACATACAAACTGAGAAGGCGACTTCTTTGGGTGGTTATCTGCAATCTGGTTGGAAACTTTAACCTTTTGGAGTAACTTAACATGCCTTCATCATAGCATGAATTTAAGAGCTTCTGTTGTGACAAATTTGGGGCATAGGAAACACTGTTTATTTCTAGCAGAGGGGAAACCTTCTGTTGGTTTATATGTTTCATAAAATTTTTATTTTCTCATTAAATGATATTTATAAAAGTAATATTAATATTCATAAAATACATTACTTCTGCCTTAGAGAGAGATACTGATTAAAATCTGGTGTTAATATCTTAACTTGTAATCTTGGAAGTATCTTGATGATTTGTTTGTGCCATATGTCCATTTTAACTTACTTATCTAACTGGCATTAGTTCTGGACATTACTTAGGCTGCCTATTAGATTGTTTAGATTATTTTAGATATCTTATAACTGTGTGAGAATACAACTTAGATTTAATGAACATCTGCTGTGCTTCGTGCATTTTATTATAAATTCTGAGCAGCAGTATTTAAGGTTATTCAACTGGAAAATCTACTTAATTTATGGAGTTTAAACAATTATAGCAAGAACTTAAGATTCTTTTAACTACTAAAACTATAAGATTAAACTTGAAGCTTGTCTATCAAAGTCTAAGAAAGAATCAATAGATTCTAGATTCTGAGGTACTTGGCTTTGATGATAAAGTCATAGCAAAGTTTGGTATGTGGTAGTTATGCTCGTGTGTAGCTAAATGCCTCCCAAATCAGCTTCGGTTGTGAAGAGCATCAAACACATTAGGGAGGATCACTAGATGTTTTGAGGTGCAATAATTTTGTGTTGAATGTATATGAATGAAATTATGTCTGAGGTCTTAGCTGACTGTACTGCTTTGTTTACATTTTAATTAAGTTCCACTCCAAAATGTTTGTCAGCTTCATTAAAACCAAAACATCAAGTAATCCAGCTTTATTTTAATTACATCTTCTTCATCAGGGCACTGAGGTTGCTTAAGAGCTAGAGAAAGATACTTAAAAATAAGATGGGTAAGTAAGAGGTCACCTAAAAAGAAGTGAGGAAGGTAGCGAAAATGTGGTGGCCTGGCACTAAGAGGTACTAAGTTCAGAACAGTCTTTACCTCAAACCCAGGTATTGTTAAGGAAAACACTCTTTTTAAGAAACATTTTGGGGCCTCAAGGTAGTATTTAAACTTCAGTAACTCTAACCTGTTTTCCCTCTACAACTCTTGCATCTCAGAAGATTAGAGTGTAGAGCTGTTGTGAGATTTCATACTTGAATAGATTCTGAACTGCTATGAATGAATAAACATGGGTTATACAATGCAACTTTCCATCCTTCTCAAAGTACTTTGTAAGTCACTTGTTAATGTGTGTTCCCTCAGTATGGTTTTCAGAGCTCTGGCTCTAACTCCCTACAATGATGAAATACGATCTTCTTACTAAGCATGTAATTTGCAGAACTTCTTGTTTAGTTATGGCCTCACCTACAGACTATCTATAGGGACTACAGGGAGCTTTCCTCCTGCTTTCTTCCCAGCTTGGGTCTCTTGCCACGACCAGGACTATTAAGAAACTGCATGTCGTGGTATGAGCAGTTTTGGCAAACATCAGTCATTTCCCGTGGGACACTGTTCACTTAGCAGAGAGATGGTGATCTGGTTGGCCCCCTCAGGGTTTGTATGTCACAGATTTGGGAAGAAAGAGGAGAACATATATTATATTGTGCATTAGAAATTCCTTGTGCTTCTTTATATGAAAAGTGCAGTCAGTGACTTCAGTTAACATCATATTAAATGTCCCATGTCATCCTTTGGCTGCCTCTAGGAAAGAAAAAGCTAGAAGTGAGGAAGCAGATCTAATTGCTTGTACATGGTATGATATCCATGAAGCACTGCATCTGTCACCTAAGCCTTGTACAATTTTTTTTGGAACAGGAGTGGTATTTTGTGCCCCAATATTAGGTCAGATCTTGGCGCAATAAGTAGAAGGAGACTGAAACTGGCAGGCACTAAATGGGAGGCCATGTGTATAACATCTATTATAGGAAGTTGTGTCATTGACTCAGCCTTGCTCCCCTGAATTGGTGATGAATAAATCCACCTTATTTCCAAGGATATTGAGGGTTCTTTTGTAGAGGTCATTTCTGTGTGAAGCAGGGAGTTCTATGAACTACAAGATATTCTGTGTGTTTTATGTAACAGTGAGGCAAATCCTTTAATCTGGGCAACTTCAACAAAAACCCTACAGCATTATTTGATATTCGCCTTTTACTCTAAACTGTTGTGTTGAGCAAGCTAAAAATTGTTATATTTACACTGTCATGTCTATTTTTCATTCTACGTGAAGTACCCTCTGTGCAGCGTATTACTTGTAAATCGAGCTCTAATGAGCTTTTGGATCTCTTGGGATGATAAATGTCATGGTCATATTCATAGAGGGTTTTCGTAGTTTTACAGGACTAGTGTAGCCATTTTGATAAGCAAAATGGTTTCTAATTTATTAATACTATGGTGGCACTGTGGTTTAACACTGTAAAGTAGTAGTTTGTGGAAACGAGGTTGTCTTTAAAAAACCAACATAGTTTGTATGAGAAAGTTCTCAGATAATCCATCTGGAAAAGGGTTAAGTATTTGTATAATTATTGCTACTGAATAAGAATGTAATCACTAATTCTATGGTGGAATAACTGTATGTCTTAAAACAACAAAGCAAAAGTAGTCTGAAATGCTGTATGTTAGGAACTAAGGAAATATATATTCCTATTTTATAATTTGTAATTGCAATGCAGGACTGAATCCTAATTTAATTCACAATATTAAGAAACAGTGTTTGCATCTTAGGTCAATCTTTTTTCCCCCCTCCATGTAGGAATTCTGGAAAGCAACAGACTGAAAATTGTAAAGGTTAAAACAATTAATCAGACAATTGGAAATGTTACATACCATGCTGCAGATTTGCCAATATGGTGGCAGATTCCTCAATATGTGCTGATTGGATTCAGTGAAATATTTGCAAGTATAGCAGGTAAGAGTCTGTGTGTTTTAAATCTGCTTTCATTTCTATCATAAATGATGGATTTTTGGAAAAGAAACACTACTTCTCAAATCATTATAAATAAGCTCTAATGTTCCCAAAATGCAATGTTATACGATAGACGTTAATATAAGTGGCAAAGCGCACAACTGTCTTTCACATTTGAAAATTGGCTTTATAAGAATATGTTTTCACGACTGAATTTCAAGCAGACTAACATTTAAATATTTGCATGTCATCCAGTTAGCATTGGATATTTGCAAGCCCTAATGGAAAACAATATACTCTTTCAATATTGTATTTTAAAGAATAGTTTTAATGCAGTGTTGTTTCCTCTGAATCTTCCTTTGTGTTTCAACTGAATTTGTGCTTTGTAGGTTTTTTGGCTTAAAAACTGAGACCACAGTTTAGAAAGTCAATTAGTAAGTGGAAACACATTTCTGAGAGAAAAAGGAAGAAATAAACCATCTTTAGAAAGATTTACCACTAGTTTAAATTCATGTTACTTGAGTTTTTACATTTCTGAAATAAGAAAAGTTATGTGACAATCTAAACTAGGTTTTTTGTGAATATTAATAATGAGGTAGCTATTTTTATACAGTTTTATCTGCTTTATTTATAGAGAAGTTTTTCTGTAGTTGTTTTGGTACTTCAGTATGATACTAGACAAACCAAAACACTGTTCAAATATTGCCTTTCTTGAACAAATGCAAGAGATCTTACATTTCTTCATACTGTTCTGTATGATGTAGTGGACAGCTGTGTGATCATATTGATTTTTAAGCTGAAAGTTAAGTGGGAGGAGAGGGTGAATAGGACTATAAAATCTTATTTTCTGGTCTGTTTCATATACATGCAGGGCTCATTAGCAGGAAGAAAGCACAGGCAATTTCTCTGTTGTCACTGTGGTATGCCTAACACTGGTTTACAAGTCTTAAACAAGAGAAATGCTGTTATGACTCCCTTAGCACAGTGTTTACATACCTAGAGTTTAGGAGCAATGCTTAGTTACCAGTAACAGAAACCTTTCATGATGGTAGAAGCAGCTATTCTGATACTACTTAAATAGAATTGCAGAGCTACCTGATGTAATACATTGGAACTGCTCCAGTGACTTGATTTTAAAATCATTTAGTATTTGCTTAACTGTAGTTACTTATTAATGTGTTGAAATACTGTTTCAGAATATTGAACTTTGAAGATCATCCATTCAAACTGGCATTACATATAGCTCTTTTTCTTCGATTCCTTATGACAGAATTTCCTGGTTTCATTTCCCCCGTAGGAGGTTACTTTCATTTCTCACGCTGGGCAAGCACAGTGGGTTAAAATGAGATTCTCTGAGTCTGTAAGATCTTGCTGGCGGTAGCCCCATCTGTCACATGGCCCATTTGTTCCCCTCTAGGTGGAACAGAGAACTTCTACTCCATCGGGTTTCTGGTTACGTGTGTTCTACTGTCATCACAGTTGTTAGGAAATAAAGCAAGGTGGTTGTATTCCTTGGCAAGTAGAAGAAAATGTGGGGTTCGGGGTTTTGGTTTTTTTCTACGATCTGCTCATTCACTCTAAGTTTTTCTTCCAGCTGTCTGGCCTGGGATTTCATGTGACTGGAGGAATTAGACATATCCATCATATTAAACTCTACCTTAGTTATTTACTATGTTGGAGGAATTCTCTTTAGATATGGTTTTGTCTTGTGTGTATTTGTAGTTTTGCGGTGTGCATTCAAATGCACCCCTGGTGTACTCTTTCCTTCCTGGTGGATGGTAGGTTGATGCCTCACACAAGGTGGTTGTTGGGAGCATCCCAGCCTCACACGAGGTGGTTGTTGGGAGCGTCCCATATGCAATGTGAATGCAGGGGCCCCAAACAGTTAGCTCTATGCATGCATGCACGGCATGTACCTGGAAACCAGCACCTAGCAGAAACTCTTGTGACAGTAAACACAAGATTTGGACAAAAGGTCCTACTTCATTGCACCAGCTGAAATCCTAGTTCTTCACTTTTTGTACTGCAGCAGTCAGTGCTGTAGATGCACCTGCAAGTGCCGAATGGCTGGAGGTCTGAGGTCATTGTCTGATATCTATCTGATAAGGGTCCCGTTCCTGGTTCCTCATGTGGCTTCTGCCCCCCCCCAACCCCAGTGAGGTATAGGCAAGTCTTTGAATTAATTTGCTTCAATAAACAACTGTTGAGATGTGGGGAGAGGTCATTATCTTTAAAGCACACAAAGACCCAAGACGCTAAACACTTTACATTCTTAAACAGAAAGTATGTTTTAGCAGTGCAAGCAATATGTATCCTTTGCTAGAGGATGTGTCTGCGTAGTCACAGCTGTCCTACATTACAGTACACTTCATTGTGTGTGAACAGTAGGCGTCATAAAGCCTAACACATAAAAATCTGAAAATAGAAGTTTTGCTTAATTGAGTTACTTATTAAAACTAAAGCTGTATTTAGCATTTTTATCAAAAGAGTAAAATTAATTACTTACCGTTAGTTATGACTTTAGGGATTGTGCCAATTAAATCTGAACTCACATAAACAGATGACTTATCAGAAATGGAAGTGTTTATGCAAAAATAAATAAATTGCTTCCTGCTTACACATTGTGGTTTCTCTGTCAGTCACTGTTACTAGTTTATAGGAGTTTGCAAGGAAAAAATAACAAACCTGTCTGCAGCTTGTGGAAAGGTGAAGGACTTGATGTATTTTCTGTTGAACTCCAAACTGAGGGCAGGTTTTTTCAACTGCTTTAGTGGATTTCTTCATGAGAAGTAGTGTCTTTAGGGCTTACACTATTCTTATGTGTATACCCTGCTGTTCTGCACTTGCTGGGTCTGTACCAACAGCTTTATAATGTCAGAACTTAGTGGTCAATGTTAGGAAAAATGCAAATGCTTCTCTGTCTTTGAACCAGAAATTCTATGCAGATCTTAATTGCTTTGTGTATTACACTTTCATTTGATTTCTTTTACAAAGCTTTTTTTCCTGCCTTCTGATTGTTATCTAAGCGGAATTCTTAGTATCTTTAAGAAGGCCTCTCAAGATTTAATGGAGTATACTTCACCTATTTTAAAAGTTGATAAAGGCATCTAATGTGCTATGAAATTCAGTTTTAAAATAAGCAAAGTGTTAATGGTTACAAAACTACAGTGATTTGGAAAGGTTTATTGTGAACAAAAAGGGACTAAATATCATAAGAGCAGAAACATAAGTTTGGGGTTTTGTTTACTGTAAAACTAAGCATATTCTTATTAAGCCACATTAGTTACACTTGAGGTACCTTTACAAAGATGACACACACTGCATTAATCTTTTGTATTATTCTGTCAATCCTCTTAAAGCACCCTTATTTAACTGGGAATCATAATCTCACATGACAACACCAACCAGAGGGTTTAATTTCAAAAGTGCGTGTTTGAGGTAGCATGAAATTGTTATCAATGGCTACCAGCAAGCAGAAATATCTCTGAAGGCAAAGAAAAGATTTTATATTCTTTATGCCAGATTAAATATTAGGGTTGCTGGAAACATTATTCAAGTTCAGAAGCGTGCCTTATTTTGTTGCAAAAAGTGCATAGTTTTATACCCATTTTGATTTTTGTTTTGAGTCCTAAGATCTGTTTCCAGCGGTAACACTCACATCAGTATATCTGTAAAACAAACAAGAGAAGAAATGGGCCAGATCCTTTCATGTGATATACTTGAGCTTAACTTGTACAGAATGTACAAAAGCCTGGTGACCAAAATGTGACTGATACTCTGGAGACTTGTGGCAGCTGTGATCACTTAATGAAGAGAAAAAAAAGCTACTGTATCCCGAGAGTAGTCTACTTTTTTTTTCTTTAAGTGAGATTGGCCAGATAAATAATCCTTGAAAATTGGAATTGTTAATATTAGTGACAAAGCCTAGAAAAAAAAAGTTGAGTTTTTAATTCTCAAAATAAATATAATTTCGCCCCCACCCCTCCTTACCCATTTGCAGATGTCTCTCAATCTCTTTAGTGATTCTGTCATTATGGTTTGAATTTACAGGAAGCATAACACACAGATGAGTTGCACGAAGAATGTTTCAGTTCCCTTCTAGAATCACAGACAGGTTGCTGTTGGCCCATTCTAACGTGTTTTGCAAACGAAAAGAGAAGCAGTGTGTTGGTTATCAGAGATTTCTCAGGTGGCAGAATGCTGTTAGATCAGTGAGAACATGGTTCTGTTTCTTTTACGAGAACAAAAAGTTTCTCCCTCACAACAGGCAAATTGACCTATCGGGCTTGAAGTGTTAAGCCTTTTCTTGGAAAGACGTGCCAGTGTACTTCTATTAAACTGTCTGGAGTAGCAAAAGTCAAATACCAGTAATGGTGAAAATAAAGCATCCCTTCATTATGCAAGACATCAGGTTTGTGCCATTTTCAGGTCTATAATGCTCTCTTTGCCAAGGAAAAATGTTAGATGAGTTAGCATTAATTTTCAATATGAAGCAGACTGTTTTGAAACAAGCATTTCACCTGTTAGAGAAAAAGCTCTGCAAAGAATGTATTTGACTGTCTCTTGTGAATAATCCCATTTGATTTTTGACAGGATTATTATTCTAAAAAGGAGAGTTAATTATGGGCATTAGTCTTTGCAAGGCAGAGCCTAACCCAATGTGTTCTGTTGGTACTAAAATTCAGTAGCACAGATTTTCAAATTGATGTCGCTGTTGAAATTTGAGTAAGGATAGTTTAAAGTTGAAGTCCCGTTTCTACAAGCCTTAAAAATAATAGGCCAGCAAGCAGCAAGCTTGGAGAATTCTAGATCAAAATTAAATTAAAACTAATTATTGCTTTTCCAGCTACAATTAATTTCTCTGCCTGCACATTCAGAGATACAAACACTAAGTCTGTGAGAAATAAATGTTCATGGTCAGTGCAAGAGTGACCTTCAGTTCCTGAGTACTTTGCTCTCAGCAGGGAATGCCATGTGCTTTGTAAATACCGCACAACAGATAGATAGGCAATACAGAGACAAGTGAAACGAGGAACTTGCCAGGTTAGAGTTAGTTTAATAAATTTCTTTGGGGATAATTTTGGACAGAAAAATGAATATGCTACCTCAGAAGATTTCTTGATTTTACACATGTAATATTAAGAAGATCAAAGTGCGTGTCTTGAATGTTGTCCATTTAATGGGTTGATACATTGATGACCTTTACGAGGGTTCATAAAGCAATTAGAGGGAACTGGGGACTGATAGGGATTCACTACCTCAATTCCCCGTCTCCTGAAATCCAAGGCTGGTTTTAGGTCTTTAACATACCAGAAGTAGTATACATCTGTAACTTCTATAACACTAAACTAGAATGAACTACTATTGTTTCTTAGATCTTACAGTACCATTTTTTTTTAATCTTTTAATACAGGTCTAGAATTTGCATATTCAGCTGCTCCCAAATCTATGCAGAGTGCTATTATGGGGCTGTTTTTTTTCTTCTCGGGGATTGGCTCATTTGTTGGCTCTGGATTGTTGGCACTGGTGTCTATTAAAGAAATTGGCTGGATGAGTAATCACACAGATTTTGGTAAGTTATTTTCAGTGTATTCATAGTCTATAAAGTAGGAGGCTTCCTTCCGAAACAGTTAAGCATCAAGCATGTGGAACTGTTGAGTCTTGGCACAGTTATTGTTTTAAAAATAAAAATTTGTCTGCTGTTTTGCTAAAGACAAAGCTTCATCTTCCATATAAGTGTGAAGTAATGTGGCTATGCTAAAAAAGATACATTGCCCTCATGAAAGCATGGGAAACATGCATATAGTATTTTGCCTCTGTAAGGCCTGTCAGCTGCTCAGCTGTTACTGCATTTCATCACTAGAAATTACTTACAAATTTTTGTATTTTAGTAAACAATATTTAAATTATGTGTGGAAGATGAGTATATTTGGTATGAAGTACTGAAATTACTTTCTATGGTTATGGGGAGTAAAATGTACCCATCTCTCTCTTAGTGATTATTCAGCTTCCTAGTTTCAAGAGACTACATCAAAATTACGACAAGTTAATTTTGTATTTCTGTCTGCTACTCTATTTATACTCTTTAAAAAGTCCAACGTATTGTCTGCTTTGTATTGCCAGTTGAAGTTAAAAATAATTTTTGGCAGCAGTAGTTGACACCTTGGGAATTGCAGAAAATCATACCGTCATCAATGGGCTAATTAATTTTAACAGAAAGAGAGTGAGAAAAGAGTGTGAGAAATTCTTAAAATGTGTGCTAGACCTACTGTGTATACGTGGCTTAAAAGTGCAGCCTAAACTTAGTTTAAATTTGGTATGAGAGAATTTGTCATTTCAGCTTGATTTGCATGCTACCAAAAAATAATGTTGTCTGGGACAGTACATATGCCACAAGTTGTCATCTTTGGATTATAAGTAACCACAAAAGATGACAAGTAGCCTTAACTGTATGGTGTCCTCACCAAATGAAAATTTAATCACATTGAGACTTTTTTTCCCCCAGACAATTTCAAAATTAGAAGAGCATCTTTCTCTGTGTTTCTGTGTAGAGATAATGCAGTTGATAAGGGCTCAATAGGAGGATAATAATTTCATACAAATTAATAGATGTGATATTTGATGGTGCTTTTTCAGTCTCTTGCCTTTGTTTTCTGAAGCAGCCTAGGAGAAGACAGTGCCTAGTGTTCTCTCTGTAAAATATTTAGGTTGTGCTAAATATATCCAGAGTTGGCTGGAGCTGGGAGATGTTACCTTTCATGACTCATTGGTCATCCGTTTTGAATCAGCTATTCAGCTCAGTGGATTGTCCTCTGGACAGCTCTCAGAACTGGATATTTTACCTTTCTTAGTCCAAATACTCAATATATAACTGAGCCTTCTCAGCAGCCATACATCTGGCTCAAGGTCGAAGCACTCAGTGGGTGATTTTCATTTGTAGCATCCATAGTAGCTACTGTTTTAACTGTTTATGTCAGTAACTGTTTATAACTCAATTTTCATTTGGTATAACATTATTGAAAGTTATCAGTCACATCTAAAATTTACTTAGGGCTTCCAGGGTAGGAACTGTAAGGAGGAGTCTTTATGAATGAGCGACTTCTGAATTTTTCAATAGATGCTGTATAATAACTATAAGCACGTGCACCAAGTCTCTGCTATTTATGCTAACTCATGATACCAGTTGAGGTAACTGTCTCCAAAATCTACTGAGAGAGTTCACTCTCCACTGGCAATTCAGTGTTGATTGCTGCCACTGAAACGACTGTTATTTTTCTGACAAAAACTGAGATTTCATGGGTTTAATATCCCATCTCATAAAGGATAATTACTACTCTTTAAACACATCTGCTCTTGAAATGGAGATTCACGTGTATATTGTATTTTAAATGTCAAGGAAAGACTCCGTTTAATTTTATTGCATTTTTTATAAGTTCATTTAATTGAATCTTAAGTTTCAGTATTTAAAGTAACTTAATCTGAACATTTATAGGCATGCTGCATGAACAGCTTGTTAGGATCGATGTATACTTCACTATGTTTACTCTCTCTAACCTTTTTGATAATCATAGTGGTCCAGTTGGCTGTGGCTCGTGTGGCATGTTGGAAATGAGCCACAATATATTGTTCTTGGAAGTTCAGCAGTAGTTAGTGTACATTTCTTAATAGAGGAATAATGTTTTAGCAATGAGCTTTCTTAATTTAACATTATTTGATGTGGTACAAATCACTAATTTATAACTTTGAGGGAGTGTCAAAGGTGAATTGAACAAAAAAGAAACCACGTATGGTCTCATGAATTCTAAACTTTGTTCCAAAAGAAGGCTGAGAGAAAATCTCAGTAATTGCTTTCCTTACATATACAGAGTTGCCAAACTTTTCATTAATAGCATTCATTTATTGATTCTTTTTATCTTTGACTTAGCAGAGAAGGGAGGTACAGACCTCCAGGAGCAGAGAGACGATATAGCATTAAGCAGGTCTGAAAAGGCTGCTGGAGGGGACTCCCTAGTATATATAGTACAAAAAAATTGTATTTTCACCTGTTTCAATTAAGCTGTAAAACATAAGAGACTTTCTTTTTTTTCCCCTTTATTAAAGCCTTGTCACTTCACTGTATTCTCCAGGCTCCTTAAAAGCATATCTAGTGAAGATGGTAAAGGCTTTAAGTAACTAGCCTGCATGAGTGTAGCTTTGCTTCCATCTTGAATGCTGCATTTCCCTGAGAGCTGTTTCTGAACAGTCCAGGGCTTTGCAGAAATTTCTCTTTCAAGTTCACTTAGTGGCCAAGCACAGGGATGTTTTCTTTTTTTTGCTTTTGAAATGAATTGTCTCCTAAAAAATTGATAAGTGATCTCTCTTACATTGTGAAGAAAGCAGATCATATATGAAAATACACATTGACATTTTTAGCTGTTTTATCTGAAGTCAGCAAAGCATTGCATTTTTTCAGTATAGAAACCAGAAATTAAAAAAAAAAGCGGGGGGGGGGGGCTCATCACTTTTGCAGTCAATAGAAAGAAAACTGAAGCTCCTGGCCAGGAGAAGTGCCAGAACCCACTTTGCAGGGCTGTTTTCAAAGCATGCTTGACTGGCAGACAGGAAAGTGAAATTTAGGGAGAAATGCAGAGTGGAGGTGGGGGGGGGGGGGGGGGGGGGGGGGGGGGAGGAAGAAAGGAAGATTATTAGCCTATTAGCCTTTTAAAGTTGTTTTGACTCTCATGAAGCATGCCCACTGCTGTATGTGTGTACTCTTTGTTTGCACAAAGTTCTTACAGTGGTAGGAGGAGCTTCCAGCAATTTTCTGTAAATAAGAAAGCATGCAGTAACAGCATATCGGCTTCTTCAGGGCCATTACTTGGTTTAAGGCATTGAAGCACGAAAGAAAGCAATCCTTGTACTGTGTGCATCTTCCTCAGAAGTTCCATCTTTTGCTCTGGATAATTAAAAACAAAACTATGCTGTTGGATGGAAATGTGATTTGGTTTGGTTTTGCCCACATGTGCAGAAAAGTCTTCACTACTTAAGCTTGAAGGGATTGACATTGTTATTTGTATAGTGTTTGTTAATTTTTTTTTTCTCCCCAATTCTTTCTAGGTAATATTAATGGCTGCCAATTAAACTATTATTTTTTTTTGCTGGCTGCTATCCAAGGAGCAACCCTCTTGCTTTTCCTTATTGTTTCTGTGAAATATGATCATCAAAAATCAAAGATGAATGAAGCAGCTGCCAATGGGAGGATCTGATATCTGTTACAGAGCAGACTTTATTACAGCAGCACGCAGTGAAGTGGCAGCGCACCCTGAGTCTGCGGGATCTCATGTTTTCTCCAGTGAGACTCTTACTAGACTTGCATGTTACAAGAGTTCTCGCCCCTGCCCCCTTCGTGTAACGTAGGTAAGTGCCTTATGTTGGCGGGGCGCATTTCTTGCACTAAGTCCTGGTGGAGGACAAACACAAATCTTGGAAGTGAATTAACCTAGGCATTCAAGTTGCTCTTTGTTAATCATGAGATGTTTGCTTAACTCTTGAAAGTTGGGACGCTTACTCTTGGAAATTGAGTATAACAAGTCACATGTGACGTGGGTTGTTCCTGACTAAAGAACTCTGCTTAGTGAAGAACAGTGGATCTAGAAAAACATTCAACAGTCTCAAGCCTGCACGGAGGACATCGGAAACACAACATTTTACAGAAGCCTCAAGTAGTGGTTACAAGAATAAATTTTCAATCCTGAGAGTCATTTTTGAGGGAGAAACAGGGACAAATTAAACTGCAATTAGCTCAGATTGAAAAGAAATGTAGTTTTATAATTGACCTTTCACTGGCAGTGTCTCAAGGATTTAAGTCTAAACTTGCAGTCAAGACTATCCAATACTGAAGACTGCATTATATGCACAGTAGCTTCTCATATAGCTGCTGTAAGTTTTGGTGCAAAATAAGGACTTGTTGGGACTGAAATGGTTTTACTTTGGAAGTGTTTTTATTTTTGAACCTGCATTAGATTTATTAGGGCAGTATGGAAAGATACATCTTTTGACAAAGTATTATTCAGCCTAACGCTGTTACTTCCCTAAGGAATATTCTAAATATTTGCAGAAAGAAAACTGAGATTGAATTCTGAAAAGGTGAATGCGCAATAACAATTTAGAAGCCTTTCAGCCAGTTCCTTCAGTCTTGTGTCTTACTTCTAGCTAACATGCTACAGGGTTTGTATCTTTCAGCAACACATTCCTATAGCAGAGCAAATGGGTTTATGTTCAGCCTCTTGAATTTTAATGATTCTAAAAATTGTACTTAAGATTGTGCGCAGACTGGTATGGAAGATGCAAGGAATTATGCAGAAAGAAAATAAAAACTCAACTTTTTATGTGTTGAATTTTTATATTTTCCTTTGCATTTACGTTGTTAAAATGTCCTTTTGTACGTGGACATCTTTTTAATGAGTTTACAAAAAATTAACTTCCATGCTGTGACTTTTGACCCTTTGTTTCTAGGTGAATAAAATTATACTACAAATATTTTGTTCTTTAGCCTTTGTTTCCTAAATATACAGTGGAATCCTAGTAGATTTCTGAATGTACACTGGCATCCTATTAGTTTTGTCAGATAATGTAGTAGTACACAAGCTGTCCTGTCTTTGCCAAGGTAAGCCAGTGGAGATGCTTCAGCTATTGCATTATTTAGTATGATTTAGAATTGGAATAACTAAAGAAAATAAGTAAGCAACAACTCCTATGGGGAAAAACTAGTTTCCTTTTCTAACTTTGTTTTAAAAGCTCCACGTGCTATGTTTCTGGAATATCCCATTTACAACCAGCTAAAAAACCCTAGTATTAAGATGGTATAAGCTGCATAAGGAACATATAGGGACCAAATAATTTCTTTCTTCAATGTGTACTGTTTTAGTGACTGACTTCTGATATGAGGATGAAGCTGTAGTGTTCCCTTTTTATTTTATTGATTTCCAAAGTATATATATTCACAGGAGAGAACTGGGTTGTGCTCACTAAGTAGTATACTACTAGATTTATGAAGATTTTCCTTTAGAAGTGTTCTTTCTTCTGAAGAATTAGTAGTATTCGCAGAACCTCCCAAGATGAGTGTTGCTTTTGGTGTTAGATGCCATCAGCTTTGGTGCCTGTATACTTCTCCCTTTTGCCATAAGTGAACTTCATTAATTCCACTACTTTTTCCCCAAGGTCTAAAATTTTGTAACAGCATTCATAAATATATAGAGAGAGTTAAAACTGAGTTTAATGAAGAATGGAGAACAATCTGCAGATTACAAAAAAAACCAAAAAACCCTAGGTGTCTAACAGTAACTGTGAGTCTGTATAGGCAAGCTTTAGTGAAACTGTTATTTAAGGAAAAATATAATCAATAAATGCTAGGTTAGCCTACTCCCTATTTAGGCAAGTGTCTTTTACCCTGTTACAAGCATACAGTGAATGTCTTCACGTTTCTCTAGGGCTGTGGTGGTTCTAACACTCTGGAGATGAGACTGAACATGCAATCAGTTGTATAATTTAATTTTTATTTGGAATGACTTGGCTGAGCTCCAGGCACAAGTAATTATGACCATTTATGAAGATTAATCTGACACTTCTTATCAAAAGGATAAGTCCTTTCTGTGACTCAAAGGCTTAGCTGATTCTTCCTCCCTGTCTTATCTTTTAGTATTTCTACTCCAGTCACAGAAATACGACTAATCAATTAACTTTGTGACTGAGCTGCACCTCACTAATGAAATGCCTTGAACTGTACAGTTTGAATTTAGTTACATTCACTTCATGGATTGTTCCAGTGCAATAGAAAGATCTGACAGGAGCCACCCCAATGGACATTTCTAAGCCTCTGACTTTCCAGGTGTCTTAAATTCAAAGCACAACATTGAAAAATAAGTACTTGTTCAACATGAGAGCAGGTATCTGATTGAAGTTCATTACTTTTACTCATAAAAAATTATGAAGAAAATGAACGGGTACCTTACAGTGCCTATGCAAGCTGTAATCTAATCACATATGAAGAATAGCTGCCCGGGACCCCGTGTCGCATTTGCGATTACACGGTGGATGCACTGCTCGTGTGAGTGGGGATCTTTCAGCAAGAGGGGTTTTCCCATGCCTTTGTGCCTACCGTCTGTAGTGAATATCCCCCCTCAAAAAAGGGGAGTCTGTCTTTATTTCTTCTGCTTATATAAACCAGAGTGAGCTTAATATGTGCCTACCGTCTGTAGTGAATATCCCCCCTCAGAAAAGGGGAGTCTGTCTGTCTTTATTTCTTCTGCTTATATAAACCTCCAGAGTGAGCTTAATTACAGCAGCTGGGGCATCCATCGGTATTCCCCTTAAAAGTCTGTAGTCAACTCTGTGACTTTTTTGTTTTGTTTGTGTCTCTTTGTCTTTTTAACAAAAGTTGCTCAGGGCTGACACTTGTCAGACAAGGTTTCAGCTTAACAATAAACCTCTATTAAAAGATGCATGGAGTTCTTAACATTTTGGTTTTCTGTTTGAAATTGCTTTTTGAAAAATGTTATCCTAGTGATTTTGTTTATATGCAGGGCAAGTTATATGTTAGTGCAGACAAGCCCTCTGGGGAAAGAGATTACAACACTTTCCATTTGAGCAGTCAATAGTTCAAGATGCAAATTCATCTCTGAGGAAGCAGGGAATTTGTAGACCAACGCTCAGCGCGGCTGCTGGAATAATGCACATCCCCAAGAACACAGTACCTGCTGGCCCCAGAGCAAGAAGGTAACTGCAGTGAAAGAATAGAGAAGAGAACTAAGGTCAGAAGCTATTAACCGCTAAGTATGTAAATAGACACTTTGCTCCAGGTAGCACTAAGTTCAGAATAGCAATGAACGGTGCTTTCAGTCAAAATTGCCTTTTGACGGTTAATATAATCTGGCTGTTGGCTGTTTTTTCATGTCATGTAGTCAATATGGTTTAATAGTCCTTTCCATCTTGGAACTAATTTTTCCGTTACAGTATTCACAGCATAGATTTTGTTCCCGAAGTCAGTGGAAAGAACAGTTGTCAAAACCCAGTTACATAGTAATGGGATCCACTTACAGTGGTTTTCAAATGAGCCTTACTACGTGACTAGTAATCTCTAACCTACAGTCTGTCGGACTGAAAAGATCATAATGAAGGATGAAAAACATTACACTTTTACAAGCACGGAACTGGGAATTAATTGCAATCCATCCCACTACCTTCATTCTGCCAGTGGCTGTAGTAATGCTTGAAAAAGGAGGTGAAATAACCTGGCGTATTGAGGAATGATCAGAACAGAAAGAACTGGGAAGCTTAAGTGGTGATTTTATACCCTGAAGGATGAAAGCTTACTTTTCTTTCTATTCTTTAATTCCATAATCCATTATATGTATTTTTTATTATCTTTCTTAAACATGCTTCCTTTATCAGGACACTCTCCTACAGTGAATAAGTTCAAAATACATATGTAATGTTAATAGATGTCCGTCAGTGGGAGGAATGTCTGGGCTCCGCTGAGCTGTGACTGCATTTTGCGTGGGCAGACCCCAGCTAGCTAGATACCGCCTGGAAGAACTACAGCACAGGTTGGTATGGCCGATCCTCGGCGGGCTCTGCTGCTGGAGAGGAACGTGTGTCCTTGGCGTCCCACCAGCGGCAGTCTCGGACCTAGTCCACACAAATCGCGGGCGCACTGGGGCTGCAGCATAGACATACTCCGATACTGTATTCCTCCTGTGGTGCATAGCTACCGCACAGTATTTTACTGATAAGACCTCTCATCCCCCTTACTGGGGGGTGCTAGTAATGAGATTTAGTGATACAACAGAGTCCATAAATCACTTTTGACAGGAAATAGAACACTTTAATGAACAAGGGAAAACAAGGTAAATATTGCTTAGGCTTTTGAAGATGGAACCTCAAACAGATAACTCGCTTCCTGAAAGCTGTGCAATACACTTGACTATCTGCACATCTAACGCGGTGCATCACAATCTCTTCCCATCTATCCCATCGCCTTTTCAAGAGTAGTTTTCTCTTGGCTCTGAACTCTTGGGAGACCCTAAGGTCTTGAATGGATCTGTCTGCTGTAGCTATGGAAACTGGTTAATACCATCCATCACCACAAAATGACTGCCGCATATTTAAGTAATAATAACCGTTAACTTGATCCTAATGACAAATGGCTTTACTGTCAGGCAAGATGCTATAAACTACTGGTCTGCAAACTAAACATCTGTGAAGAGTAGGGTTCTGCTCAGAGTTAGGATGAAGGGGCTTGAGGGAGATGCTGCTAAGTGTTGGTGTACAGCTCCAAGTTTTAGGCAGATTGCTATGCAGACAAAATGCAGGGAAGAGTTCCCATTAATTAATTCCACATTTTAGAACTTTGTCAAAGCGATCCAGAGTTAAAGCACAACTTCCTAATGTTGCCTGGCAAATTAATATCCTGCACAGGAAAATCTGGATTAAGTTCCTAGACTGAAATAATTAAGATGACACCCTGGCAGGCTTTGAAGTGAGTTTTCATCCCGCTCGTAGGCAGGCAGAGGATAGCACAATTGCAGTAATTCTGGAGCCAAGGAGCATAAGCAAGATCCTAGTGACGCCTGTGAAGTGCAACTTTACATTTAAATTCTTGTTCTTTTCCTTTGAAAGACATCCCAAACATTTGATAAGCTCTGTCCTCTCTCCTGACACACTGCCACCTCTGGGGAGAACGATAGTAGAAAATGGAAAGCATCACTCAAAGGATGGTGAAGAGCAGATGCACAGACGCACAACTTCATGTGACGTGACAACGGATACGGTACCTCTCTTTCTAGCTTTGCCCATATGTTTGGGGGAGGTGCTTTTTTTCTGTCACATTAGAAAATTGACTGAAGGCTAGGGATGACTGCAGAGCACTGCCTTGGCTATCTTACCGAGAGGTTTAAAAAGTAAAGCTACGCTAATAAAGCATTTCTAATAGTGAAGTTATTAAAAGTAGGTGGAAAGAGACCTGAGGGATGGGACCACGTCATTTGGGCTCACTGCAGACAAACGCTTTCAACTTCTATGGCATCTTGTGCAAATATGTCCTGAGATGTCTGTCGTGAGGCATAAAAGCCTGAAGATGTTTCAAAAGGTTGAATTTCTGAAGGTCTGAAACACTGCAGACTAGCCTGGGTGAAGTGAGCTGGACGTGCATTTCATCTGTTCGGCATAAAAAAGAACCTGCTAGGTGCTGCAACCTGCAATTTGAGAGCTGATAAATTTCATCTTGATTCTTCCAGAAATAAATTAAAACCCACCCAAATGTTTCTACTTAAAAGCCTGAAGGACTAAGGAGAGGCAGATGATTACTCTCAAAGAGCAGACATTTCACCTCAAAGGCATGTCAGAAACATGAACCAGGTGTTCCTCTGCTTGTAAATACAGCACAAGCACTGTAAG